TGAGTCAATCAGGGGACACTGCATTACTCAACCCATTACTTCCTGCTGATGTCTCCATGGCTCTTCACTTCAACTTCTTTTGTTTCTGGCCTTCCTCATTTGGGCAGCCTGTTTGAAGTTTTTTCTCCAGTCAGTTGGAGAAAAGCCCTTTGTCATAATTTCAGTCTTCCAATTAAATATCCCATTGAGCTCCCACTGATCCTGGCCAACCCTAACATAAGCCAGCCTGATGCTAGCAAATCTAAACCATATCTTCTCTAAAGAAGGAGGATCCAGGCCTTGGTGACCTTGATGTCATGCCTATTTCTTTAGGAAGTTGGTCCCTGCAAAGATCAACTATCCCATGAGTGAGAAGAAGTTAATGGTGGTGAAGGTCACATTTAGTGATGTCTCCCCTCATGCTCTATACATATCTAGATAGGAGGGGCCAGCAATCAAGCACTTGACCTCTGTGGTGGTCACCGAAATCCTTTAAATGTGGTCAGCTGAGACTTTTGATAGTACTTTATCCAAATGAAACCTTCCAGTAAAGAATCATTTACCTCTATTCTACCCAGGTCACAGAGAGGTCTAGAAGATCTAAGGGACTGCTGTACCTATGTTTGATTCCTATGTACCTTAGGCAACATCATTGTAAGGAACCTTATTTCAGTCCTGACCTCCTCTTCCTGAAACTGTAGTGATATAGTGGTGGCAGATGTTCTCACTTACTATGGCAAACCATGTCTTTTCACCAAGGGAGAAGAATTTTGACCAATTGAGAAAATAAGCCATCTGAGTAATAGGAAAAGAATCAGGATAGTGGTGTCATTGAAGGTAAATCAAGTGAGCATTTTAAGAAGTTGAATGGTAGATTGTACTGAAAACAGGAAAGAAGTAGAATAAATAAGGAATTAAAATTGCCCATTGAATATGGCATCCATGAAGCTACTAGTAACCTTAACAAGAACAGATATGGTGGCGTGGAGAGGATAGAGGTCAGAGGGCTGAAGAATTAACTGTAAATCAGAACATGGAGATTGTAAGGGAAGGCTATTCTTTCAAAAAATTTCTCTAAGGTAGGAAGAAGTTGGGGGGCTAATTAAAGAAAGTTTTTATTGTTTGTCTTTCTGTTTTTAAGAAGATAATGAGTTAGACATTTTTAAAGGCTGAGACGAATAAGTGGATATATAGGTAGGGTGGGACAACTAATGGAACAAGTTTTCATGGAAGATCCGCAGCAATGAGTTCAAGCGCTCAGATGGAAAGCACAGCTCACCTTGAACAAGATTTGCTACATAGCTCCTCTATGAAGGTAAGGAAAGATGTGCATGGATCAGGCAAGCTGGTAGGTGGTACAGAAGGAAGTTGATGGGTTCGACCTATGACAGCCTCGATTTTCTCCCTGAAGAACAAGGTAAGGTCATCTTCTGATTGTCATGAGGACAAGAATCGAGTAAAGCATCTTGAAGGAAATGAGAAAGAGAATGAAAGAAGGAATTGGTTCAGACTTTTCATTTACCCCCTTCACTAGACGCATGATCCGAATATGCCATTACTATTCCTAATTTTTTTTTTTTTTTGTCCCCCAGTGATGCAAACAGTTAAGTGCTCAACTACTAGCCAAAAAGTTGATGGTTGAAATCCACCTGGGGCTCCTCAGAAGACAGGCCTGGCAATCTACTTCTGAAAGGTCACAGCCTTGAAAACCCTATGGAGCAGTTCTACTCTGCACACATGGAGTCTCCTCAGTGAGTTGCAATCAACTCAATGATAACCAACAACAACAACACTTCTAAATTTTTCTTTAGGAAAAAATTCTTAGTAGTGGTTACAATTGCCGTCAAGTTGATTTCGACTCAATAGCGGCCCTGTAGGACAGAGTAGAACTACCCCATAGGGTTTCCAAGGCTGTAATCTTTGCCGAAGCAGACTGCCACATCTTTCTCCTGCAGAGCGACTGGTAAATTTGAGCTTGGTTAGCAGCTGAGCACTTAACCACTGCGCAACTAGATGTTAGCTTCAATGCTTAAATTATTATTGGAGAAAACAGAAGAAAACCCAACTTCTACCTAGAGGTACCTGCATCATACTCATCCAGATTTAGATCTTCCACTGTGTATTGTTCAAGTAAATATTAAATACCACAAACATCAGAATTTTTAAACCGAAAGAAAAGAAAACCTTTTTGAGCTCCTGCTGCTATGGATACACTTGTAGACACTTTACATTTTGGTACTTGTGGTCAGGAATCAAATATGTTCTTTTCCATCCATTTGTTCTTTTCTTGCAAGCTACCAGGAGTCCCCAGAGTCTCGGGCTCTTTTGGAAAGTTAATATTTACTGATTAGACTGCTTTTTCTCCCCTGCACTCAGTGTTTGTGGTGTACTCAGATGAGGCAATGAACTCCCTCAAGTAGTTTACCATGAAAGTATCACAGTTAGACTAAGATTTCAGTGACCTTTCCTTTTTTTTTTTTTTTTTTTTTTTTTTGGTCTGACAGAATAAAGGTCTAAGAATGTTCAGAAGATGAGCTGGATGTGGATGAAAAGATACAGACTGAGTGTGTCAAAGTTTCCATTAGGAAAACAGAAGGTTTCTTGCCAAATAGAAACACACAGAAAGAATGTTCACTGCATTTTCACCCCTCCCTGCTCACTGCTGCTTCAGATTGTTGCCAACTCCATTTACAAACTCTTTAAGAGTGTATCTGAAATAATATCCCCAAACTAAAGGAGCAGCAACAAGAATCCCAGACAAAGCAGTTTGTCACAATAAAGTGTTTGATGCTTGTCTCAAATGGAGTCCACTGGCTTTGGTCCAGCTGTCCCCATCTCCAATCTCTCCATCACCACAGCCCTTTATGGAGAGGAACCTGTCTGCAGCCCCAACACGAGTTCTCTTGCTTCCTTGCCTTTGCTCATGTTGTCTCCTCAGCGTAGAAGAACTTTTCCTCCCTTAAGCAAAAACCAAACCTGTTGCCGCCAAGTCAATTCCAACTCATGGCGACCCTATAGGACAGAGTAGAACTGCCCCATAGGGTTTCCAAGGAGCGGCTGGTGGATTCGAACTGCTGACCTTTTTGTTAGCAGCTGAGCTCTTAACCACTGCACCACCAGAGCTCCTTGCTTACCTGAAAAATTCAGCTCATCCCTTAAAGCCTCACTTAGAGCATCTTCCCTGCCCTTGGTGAAACCTTGCTTAACCTTTCTTTCTCCCCACCATCTATACCATTCCCTACCATCCTGATCTCTGGTCAGTGCAAACCATCCTCTTCTTTTATGTTTCTGTAAAACTCTGTGCATATGGCCATTATAACTAAGTACTGTATGGCACCATCCTTACTTGTTAATACTGTGTTTACATTTTTCACTAGACAGTGAGCTCATCAAAGCCGAGATCATATCGTATCCATATGTATATCCCCAGTGTATAGCATTCTGTCTTAATTAGAGCTAATACTTGCTAGATGTTTTTGAATGAATGGATGAAAATATGCCTATCATGCAAGTAGAGAAAAATGAACCTTACATACATGTATCTCTTTACAGTACATGTTCACTATCTCAGAAAATTCTTATAACGCTGGGAGCCCCCTCCCTCTTAATTATTCATTATATTCATATCCAAAAGGGTCATTGGGAGGTTAGGCATGCTCCTCTGTCTGCTTAGTCCTGCACCAATGAGTTGCCATTCAACACAGGTCTTCCTGGGCATGGCATTTGGTTCAAGGCTACAAAGCACAAAGTGAAGTAATTCCTTGGCTCTGATTGCTGAATCATTTGATTATTGTAGATCAGATGTTGCTGTCTGACTGAATTATTCTGATTTATCTGGTTTGGCATATTGGAATGATCAAATTGATTGGATAGCTATCAAGTATCTGATACTAAGTGAGCACCCCGCCCAGGACTTCTTCATTCTTTGACATGTCATGGTATTTTATAAAGTTTTACAATTTTTTAAAAAAAGATTTTTGGGGACTTGGGGGACTTTTTATCAAACAGGAATCATTACTGGACTGTCAAATGAAATTTGACTGTTTATTGAAAACATAACCCTTAGATGGAAGGTCTACAAAAGACAAACCATGGCTGCAGAGATTGATTTGGCATTTCCCTCAAACTCCAAACCAGTTACTGTGATGATATTATCCAGCTTCCCATAGTTTCTGTTATTTGGGGAAAATAATTGAAAAATGAAGAGATTATTTTTAGTGATCTGTAAAAGATTTTTTTTTTATCGCATAGTATGACTTTGTGTGAAAGAGTAGCTCACATATTCAAATGGATAAATTTTTTTTACTAGCAGTTTCCTTTATAAAACAAATTATACAGAATTTGTCCTGATTATATTGAACACCAAGAATAAGCTTCGTTTGGTCAGGGATCAATACCTAAAGTATATGTTTCATAGGCCCCTGTAAATACTACAGACCAAGAATTCTTTTTACGCAATGACCATCCTTACAAATAATTTAGCATATTTAGGTATAAAAATAACTTATTTAACAACAACGTCTGCTGCCTTTATTGCCCCAATTCTCTATTCCTTTCCATCTCATGAGTTTTCTTCTTTTGTTCCCAGAAACACCAGGCAAAAAGATAATTCTTTTAAAAAATTCATAGTTTGTCCTCTCCGGTTCTGGTCCAGCACTCCCCACTCAACTCTACAGTGTCTTTGGAAAAGCCAAATAAACACAATAAAGAGTAGGTAGAGTGGCTACAATAATTATCTGGATATTTATGAGATAATCTGTAATAAGACTTTGCCATCAGGAAGACTTCTTTTCCTAACAGTGGTGTGAGAAAGGTAGGAAACCCTCCACCACAGCATCTGCACCAAGAATGCAGCACAGCAGTAGCAGCTGACCTTTCTTTTGAAGTAGGAGTCCATTTGCTCTTCATTCCATCCCATCAGTTTGTCACTGTGTTGAGTAAATAGTGTAGTCGTAAGTGTAACTGTTTTTTATTATTTCTCCCGTTGTGTGGCTAACGTCATAATATTTTGTTTTCTGCAGGCATGAAACCAGATTTAAGCAACGTATGCTAGAACTGACGGACACAAACAACATTGCCTACTTATTTCTCTCGGCTGCCAACAGATGGCTGGAGGTCAGGACGGTACGTTCATTTCATGATTTCAAAAGGGAAACTGAACAGAGAAGAAGCTTGATGCAAAGAGGAAGACCGTTGTAAAAATTAGTCTTCCACTGAGATTCAGCACTACGTTCACAGTTTCTGGGCTTTAAAGTAGCTCAGGTTTGTCTATGTTACAGATGAAATTTGTCTTAATGGTTTAGCTAATGGCAAGACAAATAACCCCGAAAGCAAAAATGCATTTTGTGTCCATTAGTCTCTAGATTACATAAATTAATGGAATGGCAAACATTTGTATAACTTCAAATTCTTATTTTTTCAAAAGAGCACATCTAACAAGTGAACAGACGTTCTTATTTCCTTCCCTGAGCTGGACAGGTCTGGAAAAGATGATGACTTCCTATGTTTTAAGCCAGTGGAGGATCACGTTACCCCGAAATGTAGCAGACTTCAGTTAATCATCTGTTGCCTTCTGCTTGCCAGCATTATTGTAGGAGAACAAGCAAAAGCACTGGCATCACACAGACATGGTCTAGCAGGCTAGTTAATTTCTTTGAGTCCCAGCTCTTCATTTGTAAGATAGAAATAAGAATATGTTTCATGGGAGTGTTAGGATTAAAAATAATAATGTAAGTCACCTAGTACAGTACTTAGCAAATGTGTTCAGTAGATGTCTTTTGAATGGGTGGATGAATGAGTAAATAAATGGAGACCGTACCTACTCTGGTAAGTGGTTCATAAGCCAACTGACTAGAGTAGGATGTCAGAGGCAGATGAAAGAGAAGTTTCAAAAGGGAAACGGATAGAGTTTGCGGACTGGTCTGAGTAATCTAGAGCATGAATAAGCTACATTGATAGAAATGCAGAGTTGACTGCAATCTTTCTTTTAAAATAATTATCGATTAAACCCACCGCCGTCCAGTCAGTTCTGACTCATAGCGACCCTATGGGGTTTCCGAGGCTGTAAATCTCTACGGAAGCAGACTGCCACATCTTTCTCTTGCGGAGCCGCTAGTGGTTTCAAACTGCTGACCTTTCAGTTAGCAATCAATGACTTTAACCACTTTGCCACCAGGGCTCCTCTAATTATCAATTAGTTTGCAGCAAGGGAAAGCAGGCTGTCTGCAGTATTGTAAGAACCTCACTCCCACTGATAATATATCCTTAACCGTATACAGGCTTTCCTTCCAAAACTCAGCAGGCCAGGGAAGGCAGATGGTAAAGGGAATTTGATAGGGTTGAAATGAAGGCGCCCACTTGAGAATCTGAGTAGTTGATTGATGCTACAGATTGTTATGGAATCTTGGTCACCCCTGTGAGCTTTAGGTATCATGATTTCTCACTGGTTTGCATAAGTCCTCTGCCACTGTGTAAGTTATATGTAGAAACTGTTCAGCAACATAAAATGATTACATTTGTCAAATTTTAGATACAAGCATTGGTTGTTGATAGGAAATTCCTTCTAGGTAGCTGTGGGAATTAGGAGGGGACAGGATAGTTTCTCCTTAATTACTTATAGATCACATAAAGGCAGGTGAACTGTTGCTTCTGATTTATTTCTAGTCCAAATTCAGATCTTAAATATAGGTTTTAAGCCCTGTATTTTTTTTAAATTTTTATATTCTCTAAGGAAAAAAAATGTTGTATTTGAGTAATAGAATTAATGATGAGGTAGCTTAATGAAAGCGTATCCCAAAATTACAAGGAGAAAAAGATGTTAATCATTACTTCGTGTCTGATTTTCCTACACTTGAAGATCAAGTATGTTTTTTAGGGGGCAAGTGTGTTTGCTTTGGACTTGAGGTGAGTGTCTGCCTGGCAACTCCTGTTTCTGCTCTTCAGCACTTCCTTCTGTCAGGTTAATGGACAAGTGTTTAACAAGAGTCTTCAAGCAAACCATATGCTGTTTTCTCATAGCCAGAAGACAAGATATTAGAGCCTTAAGACTGCCAAGAAAGGGAAGGCCAGGGAAAATTAGAAAGGAACAGCAGACAAACTCAGAATGGTTTGGTTTAGTTTGACTCACAACACAATACTTTAACCCACAAGTGAAAAGACAATTAGACCTACCTGGATATAAAAGAATTTCCATTCCATCTGTATAAGCCTAAAGAAAATAGTGACATTTGGAACTGGAGGGGCAGAATCTTATCATTTATTTGCTATTATGTCTTCTCTTTATTTTCTGAGTACTGCAGTCTTTCCAAGATTTGCTATATAGTCTCATTACCAGAACTCTCCCTTAGAAACGAATACAAAAAATTGAGGAGTCTTTGCTTTTTGTGTGTGTGTGTACGGTAAATACGAATTTTGGTAAGAAACTTTTATTGATTTGTTGCAATGTCCCAGCTATATCAGCTGAAAAAAGTCAAGGTCCAAGCCTTTTGTGTATGGTTTGTCTCCTTCAACTATTGTATTTATGTCAATCAGTTTCTGTGGGTATGCACACATATACACACTTACACACACGCATACCTCCACACACTCCTGGACATCCAACTTAAGACCAGTCTTACTCCCATTCTGTTCTTCTGAGTACACTGAGAATTTTCATTAAAACTAGTTATATTCAAGTATAAACACTATAAGCCAAGAACATATGCCACAAGAGGAGTGTGAAGTGAATTAAATAAAGGACTGCTGTGAGGATAGATCCTTTTCTCCCAATTGTACGCATATCAATGACCTCATTACTCCTGTGCTTCTGTGGAAACGCTATTTCAGTTTGAAATAATTGGTATGTGTCAGCAGTATGAATGTTGAGATACAGGACCTCAGAGACCAGGGTGTGAACTGCTCTGTGAACCCCACAGCTGGACATATTCTGCCTGGTAATTCATTTAAAACAATAAGTAATGAAAACTTCTGTTTAGTCCAATCAATCTGCATTGATCTGATTCACAGTATCAGCAGAACTCCCTCCTTTCCCTATCTTTGCCATATTACTAAGTAAATTAACATAAATGCTTATAGCAAATATTCTTGGAGTTCCCAGAACAGAAATGCAACTAAAATGGTACAAGGAGGGTCGCTGCATTGGGCTTAAATCAGAAGAGGCAAGAAGGATTTTCTGACCTAGATCTGATGATTTTACCAACTCTGATTCATGGACTCAGCTCCGTAATGGAAAGAAAGCTTGCTATCATAGTTTTCTATGGCTATTTTCCCTTTCATTTCTCTTCATCGTTGATTCTACCTCTCCAAGGCAATGCCACTGACTTCCATTTACAGTAAATGCCAAGACAAGGAAGGGAGGAATACCAGAATACAAACACCTTTTGTTGAATCTGTGGAGGTCCCAGAGTTCCATCCAATTCTTTCATTTTTTTTTTTTTTTTTAAATATGGCTGTCACTTCTTTACCATTCATGTTAAGAGTTAAGACAGTCACAAGTAGATCCCTTCCTCTGGGTAAACAGTTTTCTCTATGGAAGATTGAGCCTTGGCCACTATATTCATTTCACATTCATTTCTGAGATAAAAAATAAATAAAGGTCATAACATGCTCAAATCAAAAAAGCACAAGAGTCTAAAAGAATAAAACAATTTGGCTGGCAGAAGAGTAGCTAGATTTGACCACCCAGGTTGCGTTGGCAGCAAAGGAGAGTGTTTTTCCTCTGGATGCCAAGTAAAGTGGGCTGCGATTGTGGGCAGTGTGTCGCTACAGCCTAACCTTTGAATGCTGCTTACGTTCTTTTTTTAGCACAGAGTTTTTTCTTCATCCCTCTGCACTAAACAATTCCAGTTCTTTGGCACTGGTGTTTCCATTTGCGAAAATTGTGTAACTCTATCTAAAGGCTGTCTTTCCAAGGCTTTGTCTTGCTGTATGGTGAAAGGATAAAAGAAGATTCACATCAGGAAGCAAACAAAAAACAAACAAACAAAAAAAACTCTTTAGAGTCAACAGGCTAAAGTGAAAATAATCCTGCAGGTAAAGCTACACAAGAGTCTGCTCTCAGAGAAACAGCACAGAGCTATTTTGTGGGCGACCCTGAGTGTGTCCATAATTCCACGATAAACAGGTGTACATTGATCCTGTAATTCCCAGGCCCTAATAAACTCTCCCAGACCCTCAGTGGTGCCGTGGATGCGTACTGAGCACCTGATGGCTATGTGGAGAAAAGAGATCCTGGACTTTTTGGTTGCCATTACTCTTCACCAATCTGCTTTATAAAGAGTTATAGTTTTTAATATAATCCCAGTATAGATAGATTTCATTGAATCACTAGAAACCGGACAAGAGGCCTCTTCTTTTTATGTCATCTGTAGCTTGACATAGGAATCAGATCCTTTCCTTCTGCTCGGCAGTGTTGAATTCACAAACTCAAAGGAAGTTATAGTTCAGTACTACACAGATAAAAGTATTAACTTTATACAAGAGGGCGAAAAAGAAGAATTCATATTACTGTCAATTTCTAGAAGCATTTAGGAGTACACTGGCATTTATAAAGTGTAAATGAGCATCCCAGTCTGCTTAGATTCTGCATCCATGTAGTTGTTTCTTCAAATAGAGAGGAAGAGAGGATGAACTATCGGATTGGGATGTGCCAGTTATTAACAAATGGATTGTTCAGAAGAAGCAATAAAAGAACTATTTCTGACCTCTGTGGAATGTATTGCCTCCAGGGATTAACTGTACATGATTAATTTCTTTTTTCTTTGTAAAGGTCATGGGACTTAATATGAAATTAAATTTTAGTGCCTTTTTCAACCTCTTATGTTTTATGATGCCCACAAAGTTTTAAGCTTGCTTCAAACGTGAAAATCATTCAGGGGAGAAAAAAAGCTATCTGGACACATGAAAGCAGGGAAATCTAACTGGTATTTAACTCTTTTATTCCTTTCGATCCCTGTGAATTAGGTATCTCTTCTATTTTCAAAAGAGGAGACTGAGTCTCAAAGGAGTTAAATTATTTGCTCAGTGATACTCACTAGCTAGTATTCGCAAAGCTTGCATTTAAACACAGATCTTTGACTCCATGGTTGGGCTCATTGATTGCTCTCCCAACAGTTTGATCTTTGACTCTAATTTAAGAAAAGACAGGAGTACACACATATAAGCCGGTGTGACTTAAAACAACAGACTTAAAACAACAGACATTTGTTCTCTTACAGTTAGAAGTCCAAAGTCAAGGTGTTAGCAGGGCCATGTTTGCTTTGAAGGCTCTAGGCGGGAATCCTTCCATTACCTCTTCCTAGCTTCTGGTGGCTCCTGGCTATCCTTGGTGTTCCTTAGCTTATAAATGCATCACTCCAATCTCTGCCTCTGTCTTCACATGGCCATGTTCTCTCCATATTGTGACATCATTTCTCTTCTCTGTGTCTTCACATGGCCTTCTTAGAAGGACACCAGTCACTGGATTTAACACATACCTTAATCCAATATGACTTCATCTTAACTAATTATATCTGCAATGGATCCTATTCCCAAATAAGGTCACATTCTGAGGTTCCAGGTGGACATGCATTTTGGGATGACATTATTCAACCCAGTACTATGATTTGATTTGAGAAGCTTCATTATTTGACTTTGGCATGTTAAACACGCCGTCGCTGTCATTAAAGGCTTATCACCATTTTTTTTTTAGTTGTTTGAGGAACCAGCGATGTATCTAGCTAGAGAAGGTGATCACCAATGGGATGAGACTTGAGATAATTTTAAAAGTACCTGTGCCTGAAATCCTACCTGTTTCTGGGACATGTAACATATCAGCATGAGACGTTTTAAGATTTATTTTTCGAATGATAAGACATAGCAATAACCTCTAAGAATGCTGGGGAATAGAGGGGAAAAGTTGTTGGAAGATGGATAAGCGTTTCCCAGATCTCAGCTAGAAAATGGACAGATGTCCTGTACCTCTTATTTGAGTTTAAGGCTGGCCCTGATGAGTTTTTAAATTTTGGCGAGAGAGTTTATCATTGATTCAGAAATGATTCAGATACTCCAAGACTGACCTATACTTCTAATTTCTGACCAAATATAACTCTTAATCTTATTTATATGAAATCTGCAGGTTTAGTGTCCCAGACTGCTTTGCTTCTTATGGATCCAAATCCCAACAAGTTAAACAGCAGCAGATTCTTACAAGGGCCTGTCTGCAGCACACAGGGGAGCTAATCACACCCAGACGTAGGAAACTTAACTAGAAAATCAGGTCTAAAAATAATTGCTTGTCTGGCCTGCACTGTAAGCAACACAGTGCAGTAGAAAAAAAATAAAAGAAAACCCTCTGTCTGATCCTGGTTGTGCCGTAAATTTTAGTTTAACTTCTGGCAAGGCACTTAACCTCTCTGAACCCATATATCATCATGTATATAATGAGAGCATGACATCACTCTCCATTCCAGACCTAATATTGTGAGTTGTCATTCTTCAGTATCTTAGGTAGCCATCCTCTGAAACTTTACAGGACCCACATGGAATGCTGTATCTTCTCTTAGCACCCACCTCTCTAAGCTGATTGTGATCTTTGGTTTAAGAACGTGGGAATCATTTTTTAACTTTTTCTTTTGTTCTTTTTAGGATTACCTTGGAGCTTGCATTGTCCTCGCTGCATCTATTGCATCAATTAGTCGCTCTTCCAATTCTGGATTGGTGGGCTTAGGCCTTCTGTATGCACTCACAGTAAGTAGGGATAAAATTCATCTTTTTCTGTGCAGTGTTGGAGGTGCTTTCTCTAATTTTTATCAACTCTTATTCATGAATGTTGAGAGAGGTTTGAAATTCATAATAAGATGACAACTTGCAAATAATTATAGATTCAGGCCCAAACCTAACATTTTAGGACAGCTTGGATTTATTTTTGATATTGTGAACCAATTTGTAAAAACTCCTCAAATTCCATGGTCATAGCATTTCCAAAGCTGTTTGGGATCCCCGTCCTGGTTGCTCACAATCCAGTTGAGGACACAAAAATGAATGTGAATATAAATGAAATCGGTGCAAACGAGTACTCATTGTGCAGGGAAATCAGAGGAAGAGTTCACAAAATAGTGACATTTAAGGACCTTGGAAGAAGAGCAGAAAAGATAAAGTCTTCTTTGCTGACTTTATCCCATGACATTCTCTCTGGTCTCCAATATCCTGCAGCACTTACGAATTGTTCCGCGTGGTGTATGCTTACTCTCCGAGTCGTCTCATCCAAAAATATCTAGTGATTACAAAAGCTGCTACTTAATCTTAAATGTGTTAATTGTTTATCACCTGACACAGATAACCAATTACTTGAATTGGGTTGTGAGGAACTTGGCTGACCTGGAGGTCCAGATGGGTGCAGTGAAGAAAGTGAACAGTTTCTTGACTATGGAGTCTGAAAACTATGAAGGCACCATGGGTATTGCTCTGAATATAATTTTTTGCTTCATTTATACTTTTATTTTTATACAAGTATTATTTATGTGTTAGAAACCTTGGCTTTTTTGCTTTTGTTTTCCACTTCAATATACAGAGAATCCCCTCTCATCTTGCTTTGCTTGTTATGTACACCTGAAAAGATATGACTGATAAGCTTGGAAAGTCTTTGATACAACCCGAGTCCAAAGAGATATTATTAAATAATATTAAAGACAATTAAAAATATTTGGACTATATTACATTAATTACTTACCTAAACTCTGAACTATTTTATTCTCTTTCTCAAGACCCTATTAACTTAGATGTCAAGAAACTTGGATCTTAAAATACTGACTAAGGTTCTCAGCTTTGTTAGAAAGGAACTAGCAGAAAATTCATTACTGAGGACAAAGTAATCCTTCTTAAATACAAAGCTCATGCTTAAAATGCATCACTTTGCCTATACCCTTCTACAGCTCTCCAGTTCTTCAAGGACAAAACCCAAATAACTGAGCTTAGACAACTAGACCCTTCATTAGTCAGCCCTTGCCACCTACCTAGTCTCATCTCATCACCCACCCTCACACCTCTTACTCTGGTCACACTGACATGCTTTCTTTTCATCACTGTTTCTGTCTATATATTTGAAACAAATTTCTCCATCTCTCACCCTTTATGATTCAGTTCTTATGAGATTGCCTTACAAGAGACGCCATTTCCTCTTGAACCCAAACCAAACCTGTTGCTGTTGAGTTGATTCAGACTCATAGCGACCCTATAGGATAGAGTAGAACTGCCCCACAGGGTTTCCAAGGAGTGGCTGGTGGATTCGAACTGCGACCTATTTGGTTAGCAACTGGGCTCTTAACTGCTGCGCCACCAGGGCTCTTTCCTCTTGAAATCCTTCTGGAATTCTCAGGTTAGCGCCATCTTGCTCACAGAGCTCCTTGAGCTCACGTCCATCACATGACTCTCTAGGCAGTCCTTTAGATGCTGATTTACATATATACTTCTCCTGGGATAGTGACCACCTCGAGGCATCTCCCTATTACCAACGCCCTTGCACAACATCTCTTATTTTAAGGGATCAAATGTTTTGATGAACAACTAACTGAACAAATGAATTAATTAACAAATAATCTGTGTTCACTTTGAATAGACTTGAATGATGGAACACAGAAGAGACATGACACTGGTTAATATTCTTTAAAGAGGGGA